GGCCTGCGTCGCGACGCGTTTCGGTAGCTAGCGGAGTGGGCGTTAAAACACGGCTTACCAATTGTTACGTAATCGCATTGCTGTTCGAAGTAAACACGCCTGTAACGTAATCGGCACCGGCGTTAACTTCGATCGGCACAAGTGGGTTACGTTAGCGTGGAAATAGAGACCGGATTACGGGATGGGATTCGCGTATATTAATTAGCGAACGGTCGGTTAACTAACTGAAATTATCTCGAAATACGAGGGGTGTTTGCTCGTTATAGATATGGACGATGGATCCTATAATCGGCCGATACAGTCACTGCTTTTCGTACAGGGTGAACTCGTTCGAATCTGTTCGATTCGAACTTGGACATAGGTGCATGCGATACGCTCATCGAGCAAACGATAAGGAAGAGAAGGCGTCGATCGTCATAGGATAGACGATGGTATTCGTGGATAACGAAAACGCGAAAAAAGTACGGGGTCTTTCGAGTACGTTGCACGCGGATCCAGATCAGGATCCTCGGTCCTTGACAGTGTTCTCCCCACATGGAGTGCGAGCCGAAACGAAAGGACCCTGAATATGTCTATAGTAACGAAGGTAGTGGGAAGAGTGGTAGGATAATCTCGTTCAGGACTAGTCGAATCGGCTGGAGTGGGTATTGTGTGCAAGTGCATGATCGAAACACCCGTTCTTGGTGGGAGAGGTCAACTTGGAGGAATAAAAGGGCAGCAACTCGACTTGTCAAGCATCATTCTGCTCTCAGCGATCTCAGCTGTTATAGCACGAAGCTTCTCCGAGTCTCTTGATCGAGCAACGACGCAACTACCTTCGCAACCATGTACAAATTCGTCGCTCTTTTCGCTCTCTTCGCCTGTGCCTTGGCCGCTCCAGCACCGGAACCTGCACCAGGTTTCCTGGCTGCACCAGCGATTCATCCTGCGCCGCTCGTCGCCGCCGCACCACTCGCTGTTGCCCACACAGTGCCTGTCGCCACCAGCTACGCCAACACCTACAAAGTGTCCGTCAAGAGCCCGGTAGTCGCCGCATCTCCTTACTACGCTGCTCCCGTGGCCACCGCCGCCGTCGTCAAGACCGCCGCACCCATCGTCGCTGCTGCACCAGCCGCAACCGTCCTCGCTCACGCTCCGGTCGTCGCCGCATACTGAACCACGCTATACCACGATCAAACGACGGGTCCACATCTCCAGCCGCTCTAGTCGACCGTGCTCTCTCCGATCACGTCGATAACGAGATCGTTCCATCCGGCATCGGACATGACTCGAAGATCCACGCTGTCGGCTAATTATCGTCAATAAATTTTTGCTAATTTTCAATTTAAACGCTCGTGTCTCTTTCTTTCCTTTATCGCTGTTTCGTCGAATGACTCGTCTCCTAGTTCCTACTGGTAGCTCGTATTCTTCTATGTTTTATGCAGCTAATTTCGCGAAACTGTTCTTTTCGTCGCGTTTAACCACGATCCAATTTCCACGATCTATTCTACGAGTTCAACATTGGATTTAAAAATCGTTGCAATCGACAAATTTATTTTGCAATTTGATAAAGATTTCAGAACAAGCGAAGAATTAGAACGAATTCGAACGATGAAACGGAAAGTATAGGAGGAACGGAGTGTCGTCGATATGTGAAAAATTTCCTCGGTAGGAAATTCGCTTGGCCTCGAGTTTAAGGACGAGCAAAGTACCCAGATCGACCTGCGAACCGGTTACAATCGCAAACTCGATTTTTGTCGTCCAAACGGGCACGCCCTTATCCCTTCTTCGCCTAAGGCGATCGTTACAATGTTTTACGTGAAAATTTATATCTGTATTGTCCTTCGTTTCCAGGAATTTCAATAAAACGATTAAAAGGACACGTCTTGTTACCTTGTTATCCCGTTTGTTAAAAACACGCTGTTTAATTAACAAACCTGATATAGAAGCAACAAATTCAATGCATCGATTTGTATTATCAAACGGATAATAGTGGAAGAGAATTTTCATGGCATCTCGACGACCATGTATTACATCACAGGGGCTTTCGCCCGCTTGTGTCAACCAATCCGATATACAACTGGTGTGCTCGCTGTGATATAAACATGACGATATTCATTATCCCCGAGCTTGCGTCCCGACTATTATTCCTTGACAATGTTATTCTTCCTTCATCGCTCTTTGTGGAAGATTTCTTTGGTGCAAAATTAGACGATACGCGAGCACGTCACCGTTCGATTTTAACGTGCCAATCTATATACATAAATTAAGTATCGTAACAAAAAGTTTTACGTCATTTCGACGACTGTGTTTCGATTTCGATGGATTTCATTTTGATACATTTTTGAAATTCTGTTCGAAAATATGCGAGAAGATAGTCTTGCTTATTCGGTGAACCACCGGGTATCGAGCTAGTAGGGGAAAAGAACGTTCCCTAAGATTTTTCATGCAGGTTCAAGGTGAAGCCACGTTACAGAATAAGTCCCGCCCCTAAAGTCGTAGCGGAATGCAAAGATGCGTAGGGACTTGCGTTCCCTACTCGCGGACAGGGACGGGTTTCCTTTTTACAGCACCTCCAAGATCTCTATAAGTACGAGAGGTTCGAGTCGATCCTCGACCAGAAATAAAGCAGCATCTCGAAGCGTGTGTACAGAAAGCTCGGACTCGTCATGTTTAAATTCGTGAGTAAAGCTTTCCGAGCTTCGTGATATTAATATTTTCTAAAAAAAAAAAAAAAAAAAAACCCGACAGAATCATAACTGCGTTAGTCTATCGGAGAAGAATCATCTGCCGGTCTTTATAGATTATTCTAGCTGTCGCGGTCGCCGCGGCTAACGCCGCTCCAACATCTCCATCGACGGCCAAACAGGAAACTTCCGCCGACTCCATCCCCCTACCAACCCCTACACCGGCTCCAGCACCGGCTCTAGCACCGGCTCTAGCTTCGTCACCTTCGGCATTGGCTACAGCGAGGTCTCCCGCATCTGCAAAGGCTCTCACCACGATAACCGAGATAAAAACACCAGCCTCGACAACGAAACTATCGCATCTGGTAGCACCTCTAGCGACCTCCGTAGCTGCGGCCCCCATTCTCTCGCCTCTACAGGTCTGTAAGACTCCGTGTTCGACCGAGCAGCTAACAAGCCGTTCGTTTCGACTATCTATCACACGCTCAAGATAACTTTGATTTCTTTCCAGGTGTCCGCGTACGCTTACGCGTTGCCAGCGCTGGCGCCACTCGAACTAGCAGCAGCACCATCCACTTACTCGATCGAACAGCACGGATATCGCATTATCTACTGACGTCGTGAATCGTGAATCATCGTTCGTTCTGGGATTCAGGCGGTAACGCATCCCCTAACGTACCAACATGCAGAAAACGGCTTCCCTTCTCACCATGTCATCTCCTCTCCATGTATCGTGCATCGATAAATTCGCTCGAATCACGTAACGTTAATTCGTTTCAAATATACATCAGTTCATAAAATCGAAACTTTGTCCGAGTATCTGTACCCTTCCTTCGCTTCCTTAAACGTGAATCGAAATCGAAAGTGAAAATAGAAGCCGCTTTCACTGCGTCGACGAAACTCTTTCCATCGCGACACGAAGACGATGCACAAGGAATGACAATACGCTCTGACCGTCATGCGTAATCCATAATTCGTAATCTTTACTCGCTTATTACCGGTTGCTCTCGGTGTAAATAAGTTACGATAATTGGAACGTTCCCTCGATTCGTTGATTTTCCCAGAAACTTTCGCAGAGAACATAATTCAACGGCGATTTCACTGCAGCCGATGGCACGCGTAAAACCCAGAGGGTTACGACAGAGGGTGGAAAATCCGGATTGCGTAACCGAACACAGGTCGATGCTGCACAGTGCCGTATCCGTGCTCGACATTTCACCGTTGCTCGCAAACGAATCTGGCTTTGACTTTACCTATCGTTGAAAAGAGGAAAATTCTAACGAAACAATGGCGAGCAATCTTTTTCGACATTTGTCAAATCGATGACGGGACTTGGGTAAAGCAAGGAACGCTTTCTCCCGGATCTCGAAAGAGCGATATGGAACAACCTGCTACGAAAATGGTCGTTGTGGAGGCGTACGAACGTAACTATGGGCTTGAAAAATTTTAGCATCACAGACGTATTAAAAAGTCGAAGCATCAAAACGTGGAACGCTGTGCAGCTGGACCAATGGTTCGTTTACTTTCCCATCGTCGCGGAATAGGAGAGAAACCATCGACTTTCTTATAACCGCAACGTATTCTTTTTCACCAAATCGTAATACGCGTTGGCTTTATAAACTAAAACTCGAATCAAATTCTGTCATTTGATGGTAGGACCATTGGACGTCGTAACGGTGTGAGCGCAATCATTTATCGTCTTCCTTCGACGATTAACTAAAATCACTAAAATCACTAAAATCACGGTTTAATTCGTTTTTCAAGCATCAAAAAACGTACAATTGTTTGCTATATCTGGATAATTAACCGAATAGAACGATGCTTAGGTGTAAGGTCGGTTTGTTTTTAAAGGAGAAGGCACGGTGGTCAACGTTACGCAAGTCTATTAACGAAAATCCCAAGTTACTCAATGTGCTTGCGTAGATTTGTACGCAACTATGCTGCCTACCTCGCGTCATCCGTGTCTCGACCCCGATCGATCGATAAATTTGCATCTACGCATTCTATCGTTATTCTTTTCCTTCATTATCGATTCAATTCTCATCGACGCAGATTCCAGATATATCGACGTCATTCCCACAGGATCATGCCCGTATAATATCAAAAAAATTACAAGCAGGAAATATCACGGAATACGCGATTCCGATTTCTATTCATCGATATTTCCTTTAATAGAAGATCCATTTAGAACGTAATTATAACTTGGAAATTGAACAGTAAGAGAACAAACGTTCTATGACTACCGTCGTACCGTGTGGCGCGAATTTCGTTCGAGCGTTGGCTGCGAGAGTACGATATAATTCGAGGAACCTATCCGAAACGGATGTCCGGCTGCTATGAGTCACAACCTAACCCCACCGTAACTTCTTTTACTTGGGTCTCAGCATCTCCGAAAGGGACGTCTATATAAGATACGAATGGCATCGGTGAACGCGCAGAGTAACCTCGTTCATGGAGAAAGCGTTTGGTTAGAGAGCAAAACTCGACGCATCGCAGACATTCCCTGTCGGACTACCGGTTGCAAAGATCTTCGATTAGTGACAATAAGTTTAAATCGCAACAAACGCGATAACGTCTAAGGTAAGAAGTTTAAACCGGTTTCTTCTTTTCTTGTTTCTTCAAATTTTTATAGCCTCCACTTTCTCTATTTCTTTCATTTTCTCTTATACCCGAGTTCTATAAAATTCAATGCACTTTCATCCAACTTAATGATACTCTCGACTTCTCGATCAATTTTTTCGACATTCTATTCGATATTCGACGGACGAGAAGCAAATTGTTTACATCGAGCAAGTATTACGTAACAACTTTCACCGCGGTCGAAATTTTCGAAAGAGCGCCCACTTGAAAGACACATGCTAATATAGATGTATAAGAGTATCGCGCAAAGACCAGTTTAGCGACTTTCTCCCAACATCCTCTCGCTTTCGTTGGTCGGTTTGTCGGTCGACCGTCACTATTGTTTGAGTCCTTCGTACGACTCACCGGCATCTCGGCTCTTTCCGTGGCACTTTCTTCTATTTGAATCGCCGTCTAATTATCGCGATCGACAAGCCCGAATACTTTTTCCTAGAAACTCGAGGTAAGTGACTAGACGCGACTTTAACATCGATCGATATTAAATTAACCCTTTCGCGTTTTGCGTTACGAGCGACAAAATTGCTCTCGAGTTTTGGCGCATCAGATCTTTCTTACAGAATCAGCTCAAAAAGTGTGTAATCATCGAAGAACAATTTTTTTGGCAGACTTAAAGAAATAAAGCTTACAGTGTTGATGATATTTTTATTATTAATAAGTAATAATAAAAATAAACGATTCTTCTCACAAACTGAAACAAATTAGAGATAGACAAAGTACACTTTCGACGCGAAGCGATTCTTCGATTCAAACACTCTCCGCAATTGCGCTTGAACGTGAATCGATAGTGATTTTCCATCGATTTCCTCCCTCAGAATGATGCTGCGGTTCGTTTGGTTACTCGGGATAGTGGTGCATGCTTTTGCAACGCAAGTACCAGTGAACAACCCTGAATGGTCATGGCAAACGGAAGACGCGATATCGACCAGTGAATCCAAGAATCAAGGCACAGGACAGACTCAAGATAAAAGAGCTATCTTAGATGCAAACGGAAATATAGAAATCATCGATCCACCTACCGAGCAGCGATCGGTAAATAGCAAAATTAACACCATCGTAACGAATCTTACTTGCAGCGAAATTTTGTTAATTTAAAATTTTGTTAATACAGCCAGAGTTTCTTAATTGTTTCAAGTAACGAACCAATTATTTCTATCGCAGGTGGAATCGGTGGTCGATGAAATTCTTGTCTCTAATCGACAGGGCCGCAATATCGAAGGTTTCGATCAACTGTACGCAGACCCAGAGGTGAAGAACGCCCTTCAATTGGGAAATGAGACGATCGCTCGAACGTACATCAGGGACAAGTTGTGTTCTCTCGGCTTAATGAACGTGAGTGCAAAGTAGAACGATCGATTCAATATCTTTTAGTTACTTTATCGCGTATATCTAAAGCAAAAAAGAAATACAAAAATCGCGAAAAGAAAGTCACTCGCGATCTATTTTCCTTCGCGAGACGTTCTCTTCGATAAAAAGTACAGGATGGATAAGTAAAATTCTAATATCTCGCAGTGTGAAAACGTCGAGGGACGTCGCCCGTATTATTCCCCTCATCGCGGAATATATCCTCAAGATATAATCTACGCTCAACCCGTGACCATCAAACCCGTTGGAAGACCTCTACCAGCCATTCCAGTAAAACGACCATACAGTCCAGCAACGAGACCAGGACCACCACCATCGTCCAGTTTCGTTTCCTCTGGACCGCCACCGGAAGTGATCTACGGAGTCGGCGGGGCTCCACATCCCCCATCATTCGGACCTTCGCCCAGTCTAATTGGTTCTTATCCTGCGTTCAAAAAACCCGGCCTTTCCTCATTCTCCTCGAAACCGGTCTACGAAGCAGGCTCACTGAACGAAGGTTTCGACTTCGAGAGCAACAGTCAGTTCATCGACAAGAAACAAATAGCGTTGAGACCATCTATCGGTTCTGACGCGGTTCAACAACACGTCCACCATCATTACCACCACTCTGATGGCGCCGCTGGTGCAACAATAGCTGGTGGACCGACATTTGGCGCGAATCCGATTAGCCAAGGTGCCGCATCTCTCAGTTACGGGTCCAGTTATGGAAATATAGGAACAACTTACGATATTCCTAACTCTGGAGTTCTTGGTGGTAGTTTCCAAGATCTGGACGACTATAAAAAGGCATTCAAAGTGAAAGGATCGAGCAACGATGCAAATGCATTCGGTTCTTCGTCGGCGAGCAGCTACGCGGACAAGTATCCCATCTACGAAAAACCAACGCGAGACTTCACCTACGGCAAAGCAGAAGGCTACAAGCCTGGCAAATACTTCACTGCGACCAATTACGTTTCTTCCAACGCCGTTCATTCCTCCTCTAACGATTATATCGCTGCTGGATCAACTAACAGCTTCAATTACGGAAATAGTAACGGTAATGACTTTAGAAATGACTTCTCCGCGGGATATTCTGGAGACTGCGTTTGTGTTCCGTACGACCAATGTCCGAGCGAGCACGCAGGACGTAAGGACGACTTGTTCCTACCCATTGATCCCCGTAATTTGAACAAGAATATCGAAGCTGAGGCAACAGCAACGGCAGAAAAGAACGCGAACGAAACATCCGCGATCGTGCAAATAGCAAAGAATGGTGAAGTCGATTCGAACGTTTTCCAAATTTCTGCCGAAGAGGAACAACCAAAGCAGGCGCAGGAGAACGTAAGGAACAAGAGGGAGGCACCTAGTGACGAAAGCATCGAAGGCAGAAAGAAGTCGAGCGGAGAAGGGGTAAGGGTGTTCTCGAATCTCGTTATTTTTTCTAGATCGTAAGTACACTGCAACTCATAGGCCATAAAAACCACCTAAAATTTATAAACAATTTCAATTTTTATCAAATTAACGAGTCTTAGTGTCTATAAGCGCGTTAACGATTCAGATACTAATCAGATCTTGTCGAGTGTTATCTTGAAAATTTGAAGGTGGATTTATAGTTATGAGAAACAGTGTCATAGAAATAGTCGCGTTATAATCGTACGTATTGTCGTCGTCGTTTCGTTTCGTTTCGAATAGAACAGATCCCGAGTTTTGATCGTCGCAATTTCGAACGAAATCAACTATCAAAAATATTAGAAATATGAAAATACGGAAACTCGGTCTCTATTCGCATACAGTCTGTTCGACTCTCTGGTTGCAGAGACTCGATGCTAGCGATCTGGACTCTTCGAAATTAAACCTCAAGCCGACCTGGGGGATCAGTTTCGGTCTGCCGCAAACCGGTGGCCCGTACCCGATTAATCCTTACGGTGGTAATGTCCTGGTAAATCCGTACGCAGGGTACGGTTCCGCCGATCAAGGCATAAATTTAGGCCTGGTTTCCGTGAATCCTCTGCTAGCTGTACAATTCACCAAAGACGAGTACGGCGAGAAAGTGGTAAAACCGTTTGTAAATTTTCACGTAACGCCTAATCGAAATATCGTGCAGAAACTCGGTCATCTGCTCTCTCACAAGAAGCAAACGCTGTTCGAAAATTACGGGCCCAACTATGCGCCGCATTACTATCCTTCCAAGCCTATCGAGCTTCACGAGAAACCGTATTACGTAAAACCTCACTATCCTCCCCATCATTACGCGGGTCATCATGAACCTCACTATAGCCACGAATATTCCGATTACTATCGAGACGGCGATGACGATTACGATTATGATTACGACGACTATTATCGTAGTAACGCGCGTAGCAATGGTAAAACGGACGCTATTGATGCGAATGGACGAACGGTTCCGAAAGAAAGAACCGCTGGGAAAGTTTCGTTTCCGAACAGAAGAAAGCGTGACGTAGAATCAACGCGCGATTTCCAATTACCAGAAGATATAACGGAGGTAAGTATCGGCGTGTACTGATCGCAGTCGAATGCTAATAACGACGGAGAAAGAACTGTGCGTACTGTGTACGTACAATTGCCACCTTAATAAGTACAATTGAATTGTGAGTAACCCATTACACGCACAATGCACGTTGATTGTTAATCGTCGTTCTTTCTAACGTTCGGCATTTCACAATGAACGAGAACCTAAGTGAGTATCGTAGACTTAAGGAAAGATCGTCGAAAAATAGTATGGGTTGACTCTCAATTGGTGTGGCGGAGATCGGATATTTTCAAACGAAAATCATGATTTCTCGACAGAGACAATATCTAAACATCGGTTCCTCTCGAGCTTGCGGCCCTGGCTACGTTTGTTGTTCACAAAGACAACCGTCGAGGAAGCCACGACCAGGTCAATGTGGAGTCAGATATACTCAGGGAATAAATGGAAGAATCAAGACACCCTCTTACGTCGATGGTGACTCTGAATTCGGTGAGAAACTAACGTCCATTTCGTTGCTCTTTCGATCCTTCCACATTCGAGAATGACATGAAAAAAGCATGCTAACTCCGTTTCTGTCGATTTCCCGATTTTTACGCTGTTTGACTCCACGTTTCTTCGTTTGTCGCGCGAAACCAATAATGGAATTTAATCCGTTTCGATAGGTGAATATCCTTGGCAAGTGGCAATACTCAAAAAAGATCCAACGGAAAGCGTGTACGTATGTGGTGGTACTCTCGTTTCTCCTCGACACATTCTCACAGCAGCGCATTGCGTAAAAACCTATGCAGCACGAGATCTCCGCGTTCGACTAGGAGAATGGGACGTAAACCACGACGTTGAATTCTATCCTTACATAGAACGTGATGTTGCCAATGTCCACGTACATCCCGAATTCTATGCTGGTACTCTTTACAATGACATCGCGATACTAAGGATCGATCACGATGTAGATTTTCAGAAGAATCCACACATTAGTCCTGCTTGTTTGCCGGACAAACGTGACGATTTCACCAGAAGCAGGTACGTGCCTTAGCTAGCGATAATTTATTAATTAGGTATAAAATAAGTAAAAATTCAACTTCATTCGGTTAGTAATTATCAAGATCGCGGATATTTGGGAGTTCATTTAATCAAACGCTAGCTTTAATTCCGAAATAAAAATTGAAAATCTGTTCTACGCTCGTGGTGCTTCGGAGTACAAGGAACGTATCTTATTTTATACTATAAAGAAAGATAGGTACAAAACCTTCGACAATTAGTACAATTAGTTGAATTTACAAATTCAGAAATATCTCTATTTACAACCGGCCACTGTATTATAATTTCTCCCTTTCTCAAATGCATCTCTACGATTTCTTTTCACTAAATTATCGTCATGAAACAGATGCTGGACAACCGGTTGGGGCAAAGACGCTTTTGGCGATTTCGGAAAATATCAAAATATCTTGAAAGAAGTCGACGTGCCTGTGGTGAGCAACCCGGTCTGCGAACAGCAAATGCGACGAACGAGATTAGGTCCAGGTTTTAACTTGCATTCTGGATTTATTTGCGCTGGTGGAGAAGAAGGAAAAGATGCTTGCAAAGGTGATGGTGGTGGACCAATGGTTTGCGAACGGAATGGTCGTTGGCAATTGGCAGGGATCGTGTCGTGGGGAATTGGCTGTGGACAACCTGGCGTTCCTGGAGTATATGCTCGGGTTTCCTATTATCTCGATTGGATTCAACAAATTATCAATCGTTATTAATGCATCACGATAGAAATCATTCGCTACCTCGACGCTATGATTATTTATATCGCTTAATTCGATTTTCGTTTTATTTCATTTTCATTTACGCTCTAGATCCCAATAATAATACGACATCGTTGTTCATCGATTATAACACAGAGATTCGAGGATTTTACGATATATAATATTTATAATGTATTATAAGAATGTGTAGATCGTTAAGTAAATTAATTCTAATTATTCTTTTGTATTGATTAATAATCTTGCGTCAGATGTAATAATATTCATTCTTTTCGTTGAACGTGATTCGAAGTACATTCGGATCGTTTAGTACTGCATTTTATTTGCAATTTCTTTGTTACGCAACTCTAATAAATACTATGTAATCATATTTAACGCTTTATCATACTACTCCATACTACTTCACATTCCTACGACTCGTTCCATTAAACAAGCAAACATTTAAAATAAATTGTAATAATACGTCATACTGCATTGAAAAATTCAAGAAAAATTGCGAAAACGAATCTCTTTACATGTATTGATTTCATCAACTTCGGTAATAAAATTGAATATAATTCCTAAACTTACCGCTACGTGGTGTAACATTGACCGATGGAGCACAGAGACAGAAACCTAACCTCATCTCTGTGAAGGAGAAATTAGTCAAAACAATCATGGTGATAAAATATATTGGTCGGACACATACCTTCAAGGGCAAACCACTATGGGAAATATTAGGAAATTTGAAGAACCATGGCGTAGGTAGAATGGTAATACGAAGTGCTCAACAAAAATATCCTGAAGTATCTTACATGAGGATATTGAAAGTTGTTGGCTTACCAGATACTTCAAAACATATACATGTACATTTTTTTTATTATTATTATGTTTGTCAATGTAACGATATAGACAGATTATTGAAAGTAGACTCGCATCGTTTAGGACCCACGGAAAGTGATGGTATTGGTGGAAAAAGTTTTCAGAGGTCAAAAATCTCCTACGCTAGTACAGATGGATGGAGCAACCTATAAACCAGATTATGTGTTGATTCCCAAGGATCAAGAGGCAAAATATACAAACCAAACTAAAGTACAGCAGCTAAGACTCATGCCGCGAACAACCGACTTTCCACCTCTTTTGAAAAAGATATTAATGGAGAAACAAGGGAAAGATACTCCTGATTTAAAACTAAAAATTGTATATAGTACTTTAGGCATTAAAAGTTATAGAGTTGCCGAAGAAAATGAAACTCCTACGGTTGAAATAAAAATGGGATTAGGAAACCCAGCAAGTCCTAGTTTATACAACAATATTAAGCAGGAGGATGCACCATGAATATGATTCAATATGTGCATTATATCTTGTAATTTAATAATAAAGATTAAGCATGTTTTAATTGGAATTCCTCCATATGATCCATATGATCTTTAAAACGTGCGTGTTTTTTCATTTAATATTCGCATTGGATTATATGTGTGCGCAATCGTCGACCGGTATTTTTCACAACGAATAAAATCTTCATCGATTGTTTCATGCTTTGTATCGTTTTGTTTGTTATCTGCAAGCAAATTAAATCAATTAATATCGTTATCACTACAAATCTGTAACAAAACATACCTAAAAGTCTTTGAAACTGTACAGAATAAATCTCCCCCTTGCCAAAGAGACTTTTGACCGCAATATCCTACAAATAATATATAGAACAATCGATATAATTGTAATATAGTAATAGAATGAATAATGGAGAACAACACAGGAAGAACCACCTTCCTGTTTTAATTATCAACCTTCCAAAATTTCCTCATTTCCTGAACATTCGCACGTTTTCTCACAAGCCAACCGCGAACATATCTTTGTATGTGCAACGCCGCTTCATCCTCAGACCATAACCACGATTTTGGATAATAAGGTCTAGGACTACAGATAAAATTAATGAAAAATACATAAAATTATCAATTTTTCCACATAAATGTCAATTTCTTCCGCTTACTGTGAACGTAAATATTCTTTAAATAGCGGTATATCAAATACATTTAAAGGCGGTGTATATATTTTCGGACGTCGTGGATTCCGATTCCATAAAAATTCCGCGATATAATCGAGACCGTTAAAACGACATTTCTGGACCTGTGATAATTTATCGATTTCTTGTAGGCGTAGTCATAAGAACTGTTTAAATTTCGACATTAAATCAATACCCAAAGAACGTTCTGTTCAGATGCTTCGATAAGTGTTTCTTCCAATGCAGGTATTAACAAGCCAAAAATATTTTTATCGAGATAATTCGAAGGCAATAGATCACCCTCTTCTTGGATGATACTTTTTACTTCCTCCTCTACCTTGACATCTTTATCACAACAACTCGAATTACTTGATATCGCGCAAGTAACCAAACTTGATGCTTCCAATATTCTATTCACTTCACGAATGCAATTTTCTTTCGCCGACGTCGAACACATTTTCATTAAAGATACTATCCTGTTCGGCCATTGAATGTTGCAAACCAGAAAAGAAGCTATAGGATAATTGAATACACGAAAATCATTCGTTAAACATTAATGACGCGGTAGCAAACTGTCAGAAGATCGATTTCTCGATCGAAAGTCCGATTATGGAAATTTTGGCTATCTGCTATAGTCTTTAAAACCATTTTTTAAATTAATCTAAATGCCCACATGCGGGATACAGTGTCCCCTGGTGAAGGCTACATTGAAAAAAACAAGTATAATTCATATATGTTACCCTTTGTTTAAAACATTTTTGCTTATCTTACTGCTCCAAAATAATTGACGAAGCTTTCAGTCACCGAAGCCCCATGGCTTTCGAAGAAATATTTTCCTTCAAAGGATGCAGATTTGGAAGAAGACGTAGAATTTGAAGACGCTCGTGATGTGGATCGTCTTTATAAGAGAGAGGTAGATGGAAAGGTCATAGATATAGTAACAGGCATCACAAAAGAGGATGTTTCGAAAGTTTCGATCGCAAAAGTCCAAAGAAAATCTGAAACGCAGTGGTCTGTTAAAGGTACATAATTGAAGACCACGCAGTACGAGTATGATAAGTCCATTCTTATTAATTTTCTAACTTTTATGTCACTTGGTAACTAAGAAAAAGCTATTTTAATACGGAATAATTGAGAAAGGAAATAACCTAATGGATTATTTTAAGAATACAAAGATCATACATTCACAACGCTTTAGAAGAAACGAATAATATTAATTTAATTCCTTATATTAGGGTCCCAAAATTAAATGGAAATGTAATTCTTATATAGAATTGATCGACGATATATCGAATCTTAAAAATGATATTCTGTGAAAGACGAGAAATGTGACTTATCGTGTTTCTTACTTATGATCTTTAGTTGTAAGATGTATTAGATTAAAAACATTTCAGGAAAGTATTAATTAAATGCAAACACACACATTTGAATGATATGATCATTACGTAACATAGGAGAGGATAAGGTGATTGTAAAAGAACCTATTAAAGACATAGAAGAAGAAGATTCAGCAGCCAGACTTTCGGAACGCGGAAGGCTAGAGCGTGAACGACCAGAACGTGAAATAGCAGAACGCGAAAAACTAGAACATGAAAAATTAGAACGTGGAAAGCTAGAACTTGAAAAATTAGAACGTAAAAAACTAGAACTTGAAAAATTAGAACGTGAAAAATTAGAACTTGAAAAATTAGAACGTGAAAAAATTAAAACACCGAATGGAGAACCGTTGAGGCACGATCCTATCGATGAGAAAGAACTTACGATATTTCCAGATGAATGCGATCCCCATTGCCCTCGGCGTATATCGCGAAGCAAGTATATTTTGTTATCCACTGTCCTTATCAATGTTAAATGTTAAAGCAATTAATAATTATTTCTATAGAAAGTATAAGACGTAAACTCGAAGAAAGGCAAAGCGCCGCAGATTATTATTTGTTGAATAAGGGTTCGGGTTACTTCGAAGACGTCTGTACTTGTTCCCTTTCCTGTGTCGTTCATGCTTTAAAAAACGATTCGTTTGTTAGAAGCATATTAGCATCCACCGCATTATTTATATTTGGCTTGAAACTTTGTTCAGAATTAGACGCGTGGTACTTGCCAACTCGATTTTCATAAAATAAAATCACACTAATAAATGTAAGTAAAACTTGTAAATAATCTACTCTCTTTAATTTTATTTTCTTTATAATACGATGTACTTACTCGTAAACTTACGCTTATGTATTTAATTTTGTCGAAAACATGTTCGTAACAATCGTAATAATTGACGATGCGCAATGAATTTATAAATGAAAGGATAATTTAAAAATAAAAAAAAACTGCTCCAGGTGAGGCTCGAACTCACAACCCCGGCATTGCTCACGATTCACTGTCTTATAAGTACCGTGCGCTAACCAATTGCGCCACTGGAGCGATTGAAAATATTTCTCTCCAGGAACAATTTTCAGTACTCTTATTATTGGATTAAAAAAAACAATATTATATTGTAAAGCATCACGTTTACTTAACCATGATCTGCTATTTATGATATTGTAAGAAAAAGCATTAATAATAGAACATGCTGGTCCTGTAAAAATAAGAATTTTCTATGATTGAAACCATTGATAAACTATATATATGTTTATGCATACGTGTACATGTGTTAAGGTAATACAGCTCGTAGCGAGCACTTCGTTGACGCGTCAAATAAGTTAATACATTATTAAAAATTCGAAAAAAGCATCGAATATTTTAGTCATTATAAAAAGATTAAAATCATATATCACAAAAGAAGTGGAATACAAGTGTACTGTTGCCCATAAGTATATCGAATGAATTACGTGTATGTTTTCTGCTTTTTTCATCTGTACATAAATTTTGACAAAGTCAATTGTAAACTATGTGCAAAAGAAACATTTACATAACATGTTACCATGCGCACATAGGTATTTTTGTTGCAATATAACAGTTAGTACGGGTATACAGTAACAACAGTTCAAGAACATTTTACAGTTAATTTTTTACATTTTGGTGATTCACCAATTTTATATATTGTAAAATACTTCTAAAGCGATATGCAAGTAAGTAAAACTACATGTAAACAGCATTTTTCACCCTTAATCATCGCATTGCTATTGTCATTAAGGATTCAATATATATTTTGTTTATGCAAATGACATTGATACATTGGCCCTAATAATTTTAATATAATCTTAAAAAAACAAATGTAAGACATTTTTAAAAACAGAGTCCTTTGCTTTTTTATTATAAATTTTCATTACGAAAATGCAAACAGTAACTTCCCATCATATTTTGGTTCAATTATTATCTTTGAATCGTCTTTTCTCTAATTTTTTCTTAATTCACTGTGCGGTGATTTTCAAGTCTATGTATGCATAATATATGAATAATGTTAAATGTAATTCATAAACATCATCGTACACACCCTAACCTCTAAATATTGCTCTGTTTCCTTTTTAATAAAATTAATTTTTCATGCACTTTTATATAGTACAATCGATGTTTAGCAAAAATATTTTGTTCTAACACGAATCATTTTTACTCGTATTCATTATGATTATATTTCTTTTTAGATATAATAAAGAATGAGCTGGTTTGATGCCACTGGATTTGCCAATTTGGCTAAGTCCGCACTAAAAGAAGCTCAAAAGACAATTGATAAAGCATTAGATATTAAAGATGAGGATCAGAAATCGTTGGAAAGCCACACAGAAGATACTACAGATTTTTTTGCATCATGGGGGATAAAGAGTGATGTTCATCATAATGTACAACCACATCATGAAAAACCTAAAGCACCTAAACAAGAAGCCACAAGCAGTATATGGGGCAGTTTTACTGGATCATTTTTTGAATCACCTAAATTTAATGAACCAGAACAAAATGCTAAAGCTATTATCCATTCTAAGTCTTTGCAAAGTACACCCACTGAAAGTATCAAAAAGCTTGTATCTTCGTCATCATTCTCAGAAGATTATAAAAGTAAACCATCGAGTCCCAAGAAAAAGTGTAAACAAGCAAAAAATTACAAAGAAAAGAATACTAATGATCAGATCGAAAATGTTCCTAGCCAAGATGTTTCGGATACATCTGATTTCAATGAATTAAAGCAACTTCCTCCAACTGAAACAATTGATACAAGTACAACTTTTGACAAAGATGACAGGATTAATGATTGTCCTAAAATAATCGAATATTCTTCGGAGGAAAAGAAAGATACTGATGTTAAGGAGGAAGATGAAAAATTAGAATGTGAAAAAAAAGAAACTTGTGAGCATGATTTAGATTCACCTGTCTCTACATCAAATAAATTATCTTTTGTATCTCCAGAAAATGATAAAAAGAGTTCAGAGAGCATCGAAATTCTGGGTTCTCGATCTAATACTGATTGTACTACAACTCCCGAATTGGATGGTAGCCCATCTGCAAAGGGTACCAAAGTTAATTCAGAGTCGATAGAAGTATTACCAGACAGTATGGTTACATCTCCAAGTTCTGGAGTGGAAGTATTAGAAGATTGGAAAAGTGATACTAGCCCTTATTTATCTCCCATGGAGCAAAGACACTCTGATTCGTCGTCTATTTTAGATAGGGATGATACAGTGACCCCCTGCTGGGATGATATCAATGTCCCACAGATTATGAATAAAGAAAATGAAATAAATCCATCACCTTCTGATATTTCTCCGTATGAACCTCCGATGGAGAAAATCAAAACGTCACACGAAAATTTATGTATGAGCAGTATGGATAGCACACCATCGACAGATATATATCAAGGTCTTGGATCACATTTATACAAAAGTGTATCCAGTAACCATTCAATAAAAGCTTCACCAGAAAGCATAGAAGTAATACCTTACACTGATGATGAGAGAGATGAAACAAATTTGGCAGAGGATTCTTATACTTCTGCATCAGAAAGTACAATTGTAACAATGCTAGAAATGCATCAGCAGAAGGATCAAACGAATAACGAAATGGAAACTTCTAGTAGTATTTCAGTAAGTGAAAAAATGCAGGATTCGAGTTCAGATGATAAGTTAACATTGAAAAAAGCTAGCACAGATACAAGACTAAATTTGAATCTAGATTCTGTAACCGAAAAGCATAATTTACATTTGCCGATTGAAGCAATTACAACGCAACCGATTCGTAAGCCAGAATATTTTGATGGAGCAGGTCAAATATCCAAGCCCGATCGAAAAAGTTTCGATCGGTTAATGAATTCAACTATAGAACCTGCAGAAACAGAATGTTATTCTACCAGCGAAATTATTCATCCGTTTAAATCAGAAATGGCAGAAATTTCAGATCAGCATTTGATTTCAACAGACTCAAGTTGTGAAGGAACCTTGATAGGGAGTTCAGAAGAAAATCCACAGTATAAATCAGAAGAAAGAATTTTACAAGCACCTTTAAACTCTAGTTCTTACGTAAAGACAATGTTAGAAGATGCGATGATCGAAAAAGCAGGTGAAATCGAAACAGAAGTACAAGGCACGGAAATGCCTCGAGAAAATTCACCTATTTCATCAGAAAGGTATTATGTCCGGAAAGAACTCGTAGTACTAATACTATACTTAATTACTTAAAGGATATAAATTTGATTCCATTTATTACAGTCGGTCCGATCTAATTAAAATTGGTTCAGATCAAACCAGTGGTCACACTAGTGGTGATGAATTAGAAACCACTACTTCTAGCGATATCGAAGTTATATCCAGGTACAGGTATGACTGTAAGATAGTAATTATGAGTAATTTAACTTCATGTATTTTATGGCTATAAGAAATTTTTCTCCCGAGTATAATAGCAAAATTTTTTGTTAAAAAAAGTCCAAATGGTGATTCGAGTTCGACACAATCGCGACAGAAATTGCAATCAACAAGAGGTTGTGATCTTTTAATGAGAACATTAAAAACTAAAGGACATTCGAGGGAATTGAGCGAAATCAGCGTAGGATCTGATGAAATGAACGTTGAGATAGAAAAATTATTGAAACGTATACAAGAGATGACGGAAATATTAGAAGCTAGGGAATCGAAGCTCATCGATGTTAGTAGAATGAATATGGAATTACACGAACAAAATAATAATTTAAAGAAGTAAGTTTTCAAGAAGTACGTGATAATCAAACAACGTATAATGTCCGTTTAATGTCTGTGGCGCTTTATATTTTGCATAGGCAACTTGATAACTTTGAAAAACACGCAGAACAGAGCCAAAGCATAAATCAAATCACTGACGAATATACACAACGATTATCTGCCTTAGAAAGAAAATTTCAGCAAGCAATACGAGAACGAGATTCACTAAGAAAGAATTTAGAACAGTTAAAAGTAGAAGCAGCTACGCGTCTATCGTCTCAAGAACTGTCTACTCTGAATGCCGAGAAAGATGAAATTATTAAGGAACTTCGAGATGAAGGTGAAAAATTAAGTAAACAGCAGCTTCAACACAGTAACATTATCAAGAAATTGCGAGTTAAAGAAAAAGAAAATGATGCCTTAATAAAAAGTCAAAAGTACGTAAGTAATATTCGTTATTCCCTTTGTTCTTTTACATTATAAAAATAAAAGAACAAGCGGAAACAGATGATAAATGTAATTAAAAGGTAACACAATATGAAACATTTACAGAGAGCAAATAGAAGAACAAACCTCAGAATTAGAACGTTTAAAAAGATCATTGCGTGCGAAAGAGGAAGTTGAATTATCTCAGATAGATGCTGTTTACTCGTTAACTGCACGAACAAAAACATTGGAAAAAGAAGTAGCAACGTTACAAAAGCAATTAGAAAATGCGATACAAAATGCAGAAACATATAAAAAGAATTTAGATACTACAAAAACGTTAGTATATATAAAAGCATTTTTAATGTTTATGTACAATTTATAACTGTGTATAATTGACATATTGTTAATTTTTAGGGAGCTATCTGAAACGAAGAAAATTTTGACTGCGACAGAATCAGAGTTAAAGGAAGCAACGACTAATGCTGGAGAATCATGTCAATTACTTGTGCAAGTAGAAGAATTGAAAATCAAATTAAGGGAATCTGAGGAAACGCATGTCAAGTAAATATTCTACAAAAGATATAATTTCCTAGCTGCTATTAGAATCGAATAGTTCTTAATGCTTTTATTTTTTTGTCTCTTATATTCTATATAGAAAGGAAGAATTTTTGAAACACGAAAATAGCGAATTACTAAAGCGCTTAGAAGCTGCTGAAGCTAGAAGTGAGGAACTTTCAGAATCTGTATCAACGGCCACAAAACCTTTACTGAGACAACTGGAACAGCTCCAAGCAAATTTGTTACACAAAACTAATAGTTTTATGAAACAAGAGAAAACATTGTCAGACAAAAATATCGAGTTGCAAACAAAAATAGAAAATTTATTCGAAACAGATCGTTATCTTAAGGAAGAGAATGTTAATTTAAAATCTAAAATGTCTCAATTAGAAGCTAAGCTTGCTGCGAAAGAAAACGAAAGAATGCGGTTACAAGAATTGTATGATGAGTTGGTAATACAAAAGGATAAGCTTGCTGAACAAAATATGAGGTAAGAAAAATCAACATTCTTTGTAGAAAAATCGATAAGGGCATAATTTTTTCAGGCAACGACAAACGATAGAAAGCCTTGATCAATCTCATACTTCGGAAATAATGGAGTTAAAACGAGAAATTATTGCGTTAGAGAATAAATTATCTATAGAAAAAGCAGCTACAGACGCAGAAAGAAGGAAAAATCATGCAATGTCAGAACAACAACAAAATATTGAAGACAACGAACGACTTAGTCCTACCCCTAGCACAGAACAAGATTCTGCGAATACCATAGATAGTATTTGGCCGGTAGTGCATTTGCATACATCGTGATTATTGTTTCTCTCTTTTTACCGAAATCCGAATTAAAAAATTTTATCTTCGTATTGCAGTTGTACAATTCTACTGCCGAAAACAAAGCTGAAAGCTATACAATGACGTTCGACACTATCAGAGCGGGTTCTAGTAGTACTTCTATATTTGAAAATTTACAAGCTCAGTTGAAGCAAAAGGATGGTATGTGTTCAAATATTTATCAATAATAAAGTACATTTGATTTAACTACTTGATAGTATCAATTATTCGCTTGAATTTTTAGGCGAAATACAACAACTTCAGTGGGAGTTATCACGGCGTAATATAGAAAGAGACGTGTTAAATTCAGAGTTATCTACATTAACCTTGAAGATCGAAGAATTAAATGTTAAGGTTATGGATGTTGCGGTTTTAAACGAAAGTTTACGAGAAATACAAACTAGATATGATGCGTTATTACAAATGTACGGTGAAAAAATGGAAGAGAATCAGGAACTACGTTTGGACCTACAAGATGTCAAAGAGATGTACAAAACACAAATTGATCAGCTTTTGAAGCGAGATGCCTGAAGCTTTTTATAAATAAAATTTGTTTATTGGTTGATTCAATATTATAGATATAGAACCATAACATAATTAACAATTTACGATGATATAGATTCGGCGATAAGTTTGCCAACGATACTATACATGATACAGCAACGAAGTTGCTGAAGCCGTTTAAAAAAGATAAAACGTAGCAAGAGACTGATGTGAAATTATTTCAAGAGATTTGAAATTCCACGGAGTAAAAAAATGAAATTTTGTTTATACGTGTTTTACATGGAATGCTTATGGAAAATTGGAGACCTTTGTTTTGATAAATTTTGCAGACAATTCATTGCTCTAGAATTCCAATAATTAATAATCATGTTAGTTTACAAACTAACGCTATGTAAAATTCCAATATATGCAATGTAAAATTTTACGTGTATCGCCATGGTCACCGTGGTCGATTCTTTGATTAGTCGTTGGAATTAATCACTGTGCATGCATTCATGTACATTGTATACAGATAGACTAAGGAAAACAACGTGATATAAGATGTAATATAATTTTAAAGTTTTCGATATTGTAATATAGAATTGAATTACGATGTAATTTATTAAAAAAAAATTTATTGTGTTCCTTTATTGAAAGTTGTATTCTTTGTGGTTTCACTGATACAATGATGGTTTACAATCTCGACAGAAACAGGGAGAAGGGAGGTAAGAATAAAAATGTACAGTATATATTATGGGAGATTCTAGGGAACAGAAATAGAACAAAGTAAAAGGAACAGAAATGATTAGAAAAAATAGCTTTGAAAAAATCCCAAACATAATGACATATATAATCAAGAATGACAGAATAGAAAAGATCATAATGTACCTTAGAGGTTTAAAGTAAATGAATAGTAGACGTGATTGTTTCTCAAAAGTGTAATTAAACCAAAGGGAATACATCTTTTTCATAATTTTTATACATACCGTAAACTTTATTGGTTATAAAGTGCGACCTTCTTTTCCTCCCCCTTTCCCTCGAAAAAAAAAAGATAGAAAGAAAAGAGAAAATAGTATGATCCAGCAACGCTTATGATCATCACATGTTTAATATGAAAAGGAACAAATTTTGTTTCAGATTTGCAATATCATTTTTTCTCACAATTCCCGATTCTTATAAGCTATTACAGATTAATGACTGATTACCATGATTGTTGTATAATATTTGTTGAAATAAACTTCTAGAATTAATATGACAGATTCTACCAAATATATATATATATATAAAAAAAAAGATAATACTTACGATAAATTTCGCGATAAACTTGTATGATTTGGACAATTATCAATTGAAATTTCGGAAAAACATGTACTCCCACTTTAGGAAAAAAAATAAGAGTGCTGAGATCATGATGATTTACATTAATATCGAGTAGCGAATACGAACACGAAAAATACACTTTGTTTTTCATCCAGCATCTCCATAATCTCGGTTACTTTGCTCGCGATTCGACAGTGACATATCGTTCTTGGTCCCGCTTCAAATTTCCAAATATATCCTTACTCATTCGCGAACGCTATACACGTTCTTCCTTTCAAGATTAGGTTACAATTATAAAATTCAATCAATGTTTACTAAAATAAAGAAATAATAGATATCGATCTTCTTTCGAACAAATATCTGTGGCAGTGTCACTATCGACGCGTTTATCGTTATCGAGCTCCTCCGCGTCATTGTCAAAATTTTCTGCCCTTATTCCTTGTCATTTCAAAGATGCGGCAGATTCTATGCTTTTCCCAAATCTAACATCGACATTTAAGCATACAAGCAATATACGCAATAAGACTGCTGATTTTTCGGTCGTACGTCAGTTTATATTTTCTTCCTCTCATCTTTTAACCTGCTTGTCGAAACAATCTTTGTTGCCCTGTCCATAACAACAAATAGTACATAAGTGCACGCTTTTTTTTTAATTCTGCTTCTTTTTGTTTCTCGGCTATTGCACGTTAGTCTACTTTGACCAGAAGGAAAACGGACAAAGATTATGTAGACGCAAAAAAGGAAAGAAGAAACCTCGATATAGATCGCACAGTACGCATTGTTAACGAGAGATTTTTGAGATAATCATAGAATCGGTGCCAGAATCGAAATTCGTTCGTGAATCGCGCTGGAATTTCTCTGTATGCAAGTGCGCGCAGCCGAACTTAAACGGCATCCTTACAGACATGAACTTTCTCTTTCAGGTGACAACGAAGATATACTTCACACCTGGTCGGACAGAGAGCTAGCTCTGTGGAGCATAGAGCGAAGAACGGTACTAACTCGAGTACCGCGTGTAACGAGCATTAAACCATCGACGCGATTGCGTCAATCTTTTTCCGTTCAGACCCATGGTGTCCAACCCTCATACAAGAGGGCTAAATTGTCGGTGCTCTGAGCTTCGCGTATCACGTATTCCACTTGTTCAGCCGTTGTATACTTTCTTGTTGGATAAGGATCGCATCCTTCTAACTTCATCCGTACGCGATGCCAAATGTTCAGTGCATACGCGTTTCGCTCTTGGACAGCTACGAAGAAAATATAAATGGGGGAGAAAAATAATAAGAAAATACTTATGCAATCTTAACGAAAATCCACAATAAAACTAAGCTCACCTTTTCCTGTAGTTGGGTCTCGGTTCAGTGGAATTCCTTTCTTAGGACTGTAACACACACCTTCCTGCCTCATTAATTTCCCTTTCTTCTTTATCGAACTAACTATTGAAGTTTCAGTTTCACTCTCTCTTTCACGGTCCCTTTCTTTTTCCTTATCTATCTCTTTTTGCTTCTCAGACACCTTTGCTGAATTTATTTTCTTTTCATTGGCGAATCCTAATAACTCGTTGTATAAATTTGGTGCCACAGTTACCATATTTTCCAATTCATCTTTAATCGTTCTTCCTCTATTTGCATCTAAATTGTCGGATTCCAGTTCCTTTACGATCGCCGATATGCTTTCAGTGAAAGACCGATACGAAGAAAGGAATTCTTGTAGACCATCGATGTTCTCTTGTTTCACCATAGTTCGTAATAATATTCGTACATCCGACATTAATCTATGATGCTCGGTTAATACACTTTGTAAGCTCGATACTTGCTCTCTCAAACGTTCTTGAGCTGAAAGCAAACCTTCTTGCTTTTCTTGCAATTTCTTTTGAACATCAAGTATCGCCTCAGAGATAAATCTCTCAGCCTGCTTTAGCCAGTTCATATCAACGTTACTTTCCATGTGTAGTAATTCGACAAGACTCTCTTCGATTGCGGTTACTGTTATGTTTAAATTCATTGTCAAAATACAGCTCTCTTCCCAATGTTTGATCAGTTTGACAAAATTCGTATCGTGTGTCACACTTTCAGATGTCCTAGTTCTTAGAGCTTCATAATGCAATATAGAATTGCAGGTATTGATTACATTAGTCGCAAGATTATGCTGTCGAGTTAATTTTTCACAAGATGAGAGTACCGCGTTATCAAACGCGGACATGACTTCTCCGAGAGCAGGGTTCGCTCCAGCAGCCCATTTCAATCGTTGCACTGCGCTGGAAACAAGATTTTGTTGTTGATCTCGTGCCTCACATACTCGAGATTGCAGAGCAGAAAGTGCTGTCGCTGTTTTTCGAAGTTCTAACATAAATCCAGAACGATCTGAAAAGAAATAAGACAATTAATATCTAAAAACAGAAATGCATAATTTTAACAAAAAAATTCAAACAAGGACTTACTCAAAGGATTCATTAAATTAACATTTGACCTCATTAGTAAGCTATCCTCGTGCAACCAGTGATGAGCTGTTAGTTGTAGCTGAAGTCTCTGCATGCTGGCCCTAGCTACTTCGACACATTGCTGAGCAAATCTAGCACTCTGTTTTCTTCGCCAAACACTTTCAAGAGTGCTACTGAGTGCACTAGCTTGAGCAAGAACAGAACCAGAAAAGAGACCTCTCTTTAAACATATATCGACAACCTTTCTACACAATTCTTCTATCGAAACTTTACTCTCAGCTCCGATATCCCTTTGCTCAATCTCGGTAGTAACGCTTAAACCCATTCGTTGTAATAAGAAACAAAGTGCGATAGCTAATGTTTGAGAAGTAACACCAAGCAATTGCCGTGACACGTAATCGGCTGTAAAGATTCTTATTGGTTTGTTTAGTCTTTCGTCATTGTAAACGTTTGCTAAACCACCTTTAAATGCAGTTGCAATATCTCTACACATCATGAAGAACTCTTGTATGGTATGTAATCGTTTGACCAAAAATATATCCTCTAACACCTGACAAGCTGTCTTATTGAATATTGGTGCAGACATTTCTTTCGCTTCTCGAATCTGATCAATTTTTCTCCAGGATGAGGGAATATCGAGCGTACTCAAAGTAGCGATCAATGCGTTACCTTCCATCTGGAGCTTTTCGAACAAACCATTAAAGCCCATTAAAAGCATTTGACCAGGCGTTAACGTTTCATCTTGATTAGGTTCTTGAATTTCAGCAGGTCGAGATAGCATTGCCTCGAATCTTAATCTCATGTTATTCACGACGTTTTGTATCATTGCATGAGGACTATCCATTTCCATAACAGTAAACCTGAGATGCATTTCTAACTGGCCTAGAATGTCACCAAGTGGTATACCGGATGATACAATTATCTCTGTTAGTTCTCCTATCATTCTAATCACAGTTGGCTCTTCCGTTATGATCGTTTTCATCGCTTCAGGCAAAATGATCGTGTGGAAATTATAATTAAGTTCTTGCAATCCTTTGTAGATGCAATCGGATCCTCTTAAACATTTTAATATAAGAGATATCTTGGGATCATTGTTGGTTTTATGGCATTCAGGTATCAAACTAACTAGCTCAGCAATTAACGATGACATTAAACGCATTTCGTCTAAAAACCAGTCTCCTTCTCTGGATGTAAGATCAACTAAACAGTCCCCTGCACATTTAGCAGCGCCTTCCATCATTAAGTATCTCTTATTCAAAGCGCAGAGTGCGGTTATATTGACGCATTCGAGTGCCCTTTCCGCACCTTTATCTCGTCTCAGAAAGTTTTGTATCTGTACTCTCGATTCTCCATATGCTTTCTCTATTCTAGTGACTGATTCCGGTAAACCCTCCGAAACCATTCTCTCATATGCTTTCTTTAATCTTTCATTTGCTTCATTTAGAATCGCTTGCATTTGATAAGAAAATGTTATTATTTGTTGAACTTGCTGATTGTTGGAGATTTTGATCGGATCAAAAGTGTTTTCAAATTGCACCATAACTTCATGACAAGTTTCGACGCCTCCAGTGTTTAAAAGCTTGTTAGCCCAACCGTGATAAAGTACTGTACGATGTTGCGACATATTACTCAGCGGATACAGGCTACAAATCGCTGAATATTGACTCAATAAATCCAAACAATTTCGTATTAGAATAGACTGTTGTGTAGCCAATTGTGTCAATTCATTTTCTGATTGTTCACATTGAAGTATCATTTGACTTTGACCAGCATTCTGTAAGAATTCTTTCACAAGATCAAAAACTACATGATCCTCTTGACTCGTAGACGTACCCAATTCAGCCAACCATTGTCCTAATTGCGGACCTCGTACGATTGAAAGTGCCAACTGAAATAACAAGGTAACTCGATCAATTTCTTCGAAATAAAAGAAATAATGAATAAATAATTAAAGCTTACGTTGTGCATGTTAATCTGCTTTTCACAGTCCTCAATCTTTTCTTTCAACCCAGCTTTTGCTTTTTCATGGGCATCGCGTGCTCTTTTAAAAGAATTATAACGTTTTATCACAGAATATAATGGATGATTACGTCCCATTGCTTGTGCTTCTTTGACTAGTGCAAGCTGTTGGTGTCTGTCTTGTAATAAATCCTGACACTGACGCGTGATATCCGTTGCCTCCACCCAACCATTCAAGTGGTGGCACAGAGATGGAAAGATCTTCACCAACTCATCTCTAAGAATCAAAGACCATTAGTCAATATGATACAGACTAATTA